CGTAGTAGCAATCCTGTTGGCAACAATCACATAAATCAATAAATGTATACACGGGATGATGCGTGCTGTTTTTTTTATTAGATTATTTATTTGGATGTAATATAAGTGATGTGGTTGTGGGTGTTTGAGTTTAATTTGTTTGTCAAAATAGAAGCGAATACTAAAACATGACATATGAAGTAAATGTGTCAACATTTCTAAACTTTTGGAATATTAATACATTTGGCCCCTCAAACATTTTGTAAACAAAAGTCGTTTGTTTTTGTAAATGCCTGTCTAGGTAGAATACACAAAATTGTTAACAAAATTCTCACAGTGAAATTAATCATTTTAAGTGTATACGTTTTCAGCTATCAATTTGAAATGTCAGCGATAATACTGCGAATTGCGTCGGTACTATATTGAATAAAATATGGTCAATTATGCCCAATGCTTGTACTGAAAATGCTATTTATAGTCCGAACAATGTGCCCTTTGGAATCAGGTGATATCTGATATGTTTGCATTGTATAATTAGTTTGATTTATGGTTTGTTGTAGGATATGCATTGGGGAGGGGGGGGGAATGGCTCCCCTCCCCTCCCCCCCCCCCCCCCCCCCCCCCCACCTCTATTTTTTTAACTTTTGGGGGGTAAACGGAGGAGTAAAAACACCTTTTTGTCTTAATTTTTCCGGAAAAAAATTAAAACATTGCGTATCTCCCTCGCCAGCCATCAGCTCCACATTCATCTAACTGGGTCTTTCTACACTATTAACAAAAGTGTGACATGGAATTGGGAAATGAAGCAGGATAATAATATCAAGTTGTTTGCCCTCTTTCCCCCAAGGTACATTCCCACCCAATTGTTGAGGATTTCGCTCATAATAAATTTACAACTTTGTAGTCAAATACAAGATATGTACGCTCAGAATGCTACGTATGTAACATGGACAGAAAGTTTGTTATTATTGATAGAAAGTTATAATTACGATAAATGTACATCAAGTATTGTGTCTTTTCATTCTTATCCCTACAGCATTGTTAACTGTAAAAACCAAGACAATATATATTTAAGACTTCACAGGGTACTATGTTGAGAGTGTTACGTACGTAACATGGACAGAAATTTGTCACAAAATTGTTGTCCATGATACCGGTACGTACGTTACATATAACTGTCATAAGTTAAAGACCTAGAAAATTAGCTGGCAACAATCCTAAATGACATTTGGGTAATTTGTCCTGTCAATTTATGCTTAAAATTCTGTCCATTTTACTTTATGTTTAATTATTTACGATGACCCCTGTAATTTCTCAAATACAGAGATTTCAAGTCCTCTATGTTTTTTTTGTACACATGATCATTACTGCCTCGGAAATGCACAGGAAACAACTGAACAGAATATCTTGCTTTGCTGTACCCCCCAGTGTCTCCCTCTAATCCCAAATTTGCAGTCAATTATACCCCATTAGCTGACTTCCGGTTGCCAGAAGTCGCTTAATACGTGACTGCTGCCACATCGTGCACTGTGGTCATGTCCATAGTCCTATGCACTGTAATGCGATTAAGTAATTACGTCGAGGGAGCCCACGCCATAATAATTATTAATTAATAATTATGTCATCAATTATTTTCGCATTAACTGAGTATAATACCCAAACATTTATTTGCCTCAACGACACCTTTCATAAAGTCAACCCCAACTATTCACCCACCTTCAGACATCATCCCTTTAAACCAGATGTAATTATTGACTAGAAATACCACGTGTTCGACAGTACCAGCCAGTCTGAGTTCCGTTTGTTCGAGTCTCCCGTGTCGCCCGGGTCGATAATAACACGCGAAAATGCGTGTTTAGCCACCAGGCTAACACTTAAGACGCATTTTTTTCCTTCTCGCTATCACCCCTTGTTCATGTGAATGGAATTGTGAAACTGTCAGTGGTTATGTTCGACTGATGTATTGTGCGTCCTTGACATTTGTAGAAACCTGACGCTATCTGGTTTTACATTCATATTATCGAGTGTTCAGATGCTTACGTGCAAATTGATATTTACGTCATTGCTAAGTCACGGATGGATTTTCTTATGACACCCACGGCCAAACTGAATGGATGTTTTGTAGTCTTTGTCCTTATGCAGACTGAAATCAAATTAGAGAAATTCAAAAAAAAAATGGGAGTGCATTTCTAGAAGATGCAAAATTTTTGAAGTCTTGCATTTGAAGGATGTGAAAATAAAGTTCACTGTGTTTTTGTTCTTGAAATGCAGAACGAGTGGCATGCATCTGTTGGTTCAAGTAGCTGCATACACATGTACTCTAAATCCCTAGTGTATTTTACTATTAAGTACTGGACCAAGTCCACCCAAATCCATCACTGACCCTGCTTCACATAATGCTTCAGGACCAAGTCCGCTGAAATCCACTACAAGACCACCACTACTAGTTGTGGATTTTGATGGACTTGGTACTCATGGTTTGCCTACCAAAATGCCCAAAATGGGGGAATGGATTTTGATGGATTTGGGAAGGTTAGAGTTAATAATAAGAAAAGCACTTGGCACTTGCCATTAAATTTGCAACAAATAACAAAGAAAATGGACAAAAATATCAGTCAGAAAATAATTTTACCGGTAGTTTCTCTCTCTTCAAGTTTTTTGGATTTTTGTGTAGAAATGCACCTGCAGGTGATGAAGTGTTCAGCCTATGATTGTACCTTAATAATGATACAATTACCGGGGTATTCATAAATTTGAAGAGTTTTATTTGTACTCAACCGAGAGCCATCTGCCGGATTTCGAAGAGTGCTGGCAGTTACAACTGGTGAAGCTTCTGTGGTCAAAGTACGTTACTTGCTCACGTAATCTTTTCAATTGACAGAGAGGCGTCCATAGAGTGATTATCATCCAACGTACATGTACAATTAGAGCGTTCAGTAGCGTACTTAGCTAATTTGATTTTGTCTCACTGAGTGACTTTGAAATACAATTGCTAAAGTGGCTGAACATTTCAGAGTTGAAGAAACTCTTGCCTTAACTCGCCTTTTGAGGACGGGAAAAGTATTTTATCGCCATAGTTACGGACAGGACAGTTATTTTAGTAATGGGTAGTTTCCTAGGTGGCTGCAATTTGGTTTGATGGCCCAAGGTGAAGCTATTCGAAACACCATTATCCAATCTTTTCTTGATTAACTTTTTATATTTTTTATGGTTGATGTTAACCGTGGAGCAAACAGATTTTTTTCATCCCACTTGACAGGAATTGATAATTGCACACCTTTTGGGGGTCAAAATGCTGTGAAAACTTGTAGTCTTGGGGGGGGGGGGGGGAATCAATTTGTGATTTCATAAGTCAGCAATTTGTCGTCATGGTAATTCATTAATGTGTCAACGAGGCAATAGTACATATATAATTGTTGTCATGGCAACTGAATGACAGTCCCAAGACACCTAATTTTAGCTGTCAGAAGCTTTTAGCACCATTGTTAGAGGGACAAGCATGTGTCTTTCTGTCTCGCAGAATACGTTTTAACCTCAAGACTAATTTTATTAGTAAGACAACCAAGGTCAGTAGTGTAATAAGTTTTACAGTAGTTTGCTTGCGCACTAGAATGCTTCCAACTTGTCAGTACCATTTTTGCACCTTAGAGAAAGATGCTTGTTTTTGTCCATTACTGTTTTTCCCATGTTGGGTGTGAAACATGCCGTGGGCTTGAGCTGCTTATGTTGGTTGGTGGGTGGGTTGGTTGGTGGGTGGACGGTTTACTCGGGACGCGTGTATCACAACTTTGCCAGTGAGTTTCTATGGAATATCTGTGGAATACCTGCAGTTTTGTGACACTGATGTGCATGCGTCAAATTTGCATACTAGATCACGCCCCATTGCATTGCAAAATTTGCGGTTGTGCGGTACGTGGAACCGCCGTGGGTTGTACCACTTGGTACATGTACAAATGTACCTGTACTTGTTAAACTATATGCACTTATTTTCCTTACAAATACAAAATGTGTACAATACTTAAAATAGGAATGTACAACAGTTCCCAAATGTGCATATTTTTTTAATGGAATATGATTTCAAAATGTAGGTGTACCGGTAGTTGTATTTTAATGTGATAAATAATAATTGTGTGGGGGCACCCTCACCCCAAAAAGATGACAACATTATAAGCTGTGTCCATTATACACAATGTAGGAATCATTTTGTAATCCTTTGGCTAGCAGTACACATTGTGTAATAATGCACAAAGAAATCAGAAGTCAGAACGTATTGTACTGAGTAATATTTGTTGCATCATGTTTCCTATTGCTGAGGGAGATGTCTTGTGGTTTGTAGTTTGCCAATTGCCATGGCAACCGTTATGATGGTATGGGTCCATGCATCATTAGTTGTGTTGGGTTATCCTGCTGATTAGAAGATGTGTTTGGTTGTAGTTGGTATTTCAGTTTGATAATCTGGCATTATTTGGAAATACTCAGCGTTCCATTGTACACAAGTGTTAAGACTCGTTACGTGGGATCCATGCACAGATTTTGTCTTTGTATTGCAATGTGATTTAACCCTAACTCCTTCGGCATTTTTGCTAGGGTGCAACCTCAATCCTGAAAAAAAACTCCATGTCAAAATTGCATACAGCCTCAATCCTCCAAAATCATCCGTTATTTCTTGAATGTGGTCCTTGGAGGGGTGACCACTGCCTCAATCCTGCAAAATCTTCCAGCAATCACTGTCAATATTGTGAGGCAGAGCCAGTGACATCCTGGAGTAGTGCGGAGGATTTCAAGTAAAATCGTGGCCTATATTTATGCACGGCTGAGCATAAACAATGCACAACAACGCATCCTCCAAAACCAGCCACACATTTTTGCCATATAGCCTCAATCCTGCAAAATTCTCCGTTTTGCAAAGAGGATTTTGGAGGATTTGGGAAGGTTAGGGTTAAATAAGGCTCGGAGTTTGGTCCAGCAAAGATTTTCAATAAGTCTTTTCTTGTTTTGTTTTTCTTTCAAATCAAAATTAGATATTCCGATAGAAAGCGTTCAGATTCTCCAATGAAGCTATGGAGAGACCTCACTAGGACCAGGAAGCACATCAACCAGGTTATGAAGGCCATCAACTGAGACATGGGATGCTCTGCTACCAAGACAGTGCCTCAGGAGCGTTCAACTCCCGTCAAAGGCCAGAGCAATGGAGATATCCTCAAGCATCACAAGCAAGATGGTAGGCCAAATTCTTCCTTAGAAAACCAAGATCAGTGATTCAGTTTATCTTTTTAAAATAAAACACTAGGAAACTCATCAGGCAACCTCAAATACCCTTTTGCAGTCTTCTCGATACCTGCCAATATTTTTTGAATTTTGTTCACTCAACTTGCATACATACCAGCTTATTTTTGCAATAACCAAACCCAAACTTGTACAAATGGCAAATTAGATTTATCTGAACCAACCTTGAGAAAGTAATAAGAAGTTGAAATCTTTTGTCGTCAGACATCCTATAGTAGTGATTTTTTTTTTCAAATGAAGTGAAGGTTTTGCCACTCGGGAGGGCTAATCTTATTACCCACCAGGTTGGAATTGTAATCTCATTAAAGTTTTCCCATTTTTCATGTCGGTTGATAAATTCGATTCCGTGTGTACACTTTGTATAGCCCATTGCGTAAAAACAGATGATGCATTAGCACTGGACCGTAATTCAAAAATTGTTCATTAAATTAAAAAAGAAATCCTTTTTGGTACTAAGTTTACATTTTTTTCTTGAATTTAATCAACTTGAAATGTTATATCACGGGTAGTGTGGTTGTGTATTGTACATTGATGACTTCAGTGGTTTTATTTGGTAAGAAATACAGATGTGTTTTCATAATACTACACATGCTCTGAAGATCCCATTTTGTTTAAAACATATCTCGAAATAAGGATGATTTATATTATTTTGATATATCATAATTGCACACTGCTTTTGTTTTTTTCTCCAACAGATGTCAAAAGTCACACACAAGGCAAGGAGAATATCAAACAGAGCCCTGCCATACACGACAGTCAGAACGGTGGACAGACTGGTGGTCAGATGGGTGGGAGATCCGGAGAGCAGACCGGTGAAAGCACAGGGGAAGAAGCCAACCATAAAGTATCAAAAGAAATCAGTTTATCGGTGAGTGATAAAAAAAAAAATTTGCACGCAAGATACCCGGAGTGAACTCAAGTGCAAACTTGTCAATTTGCTTCCTCTGCAGTAATTTTGCTCAATTCAAATCCAAGAGATCTCCAAATGCTCGTCAGACTGTTCAGTTTAAAATGAACGGCTAAATATAGACCTGGTTTTTGTCCGGAGACTGGAAATAATGGATTTGATTTGAGAGTCTACACGTTGCCGACTGAAAGGATGGATTGACTGGGCAATCCTTGCAGATTTGACAAATGGAAGGCCAGGAATGATTATCTTGCCTGAACGTGATGAATGAAATACCTGAGCGTTGCTGAAAGCTCGCTCGGTTCAATTCACGAATTGAGATGAAAGTGGTTTTGTCGTGCGGTCATGACATTTAACTGAAACCCGGAATCCTTGCCTTTTGGGAAATAACTCCTGTCTTGATCAATCTGACTTTGATTCGTGGATGTGGCATAGAAGATTGTGTTATAATTTAATCAATATTTAGGTCATGGCCAGAATTGTGGTTCTTGACCGTGATTTGGGTGTCTTTATTGTTTTGTTTTATGTTTGTTTGTTTTTCGAGTACTGTCCACCCTATGGCCCATTTTTGACAAAGTAAATGTGCGCACTTTCCTTTGATTTGTCGCAATTAAGTTTTCAGTTATTCACTTTAAGGCTCACTTGGAGTGCATTCATGAAAGATGAAAGAACATTTCAGAGTGTTCTTATGAACCTGCGTAGATCTGTAACCATGGCGACAGGACAGAGTCGTGCATGGAATAAATACGTCGACAGGAATTTCAATTTGCATCAAAATGGAATACAATACGTGGTAGTGCCGTGAGCCGAAAGACAAATAGCATATACAAACAAGCTTTTAAGTTGAGTGGTTGACTATGAACGGCAAGGCTGTAATCCATTATTTACATGTATAACGATTGTTGGCAGGGTGTGCTTGTATTGTGTTCTGGAGGGCCCGGGTTCATTTCCACATCTTTTCATTTTCTGTGATCAAATTTGTTATTTAATAATAAAAAGTGAACTCAGTAAGTTTCCCTATGTGAAGTATCTGTTTGCTGTAAATACCCAAGACTGCTGTAAATACCCAAGACTGTTTACCCATACCTATTGGTCGAAAATCGTCACGTGGGTGGTTTTAAATGGTCGATAAACACCGACTGGTTTTAAACTTTTTTCCGGCACCTCTGCATTCTGCGCCACATCGTGCAGCATGCGCCATGCGCACGCCAATCTCCATATAAGGAGATTATTAGTACTACTCACGCGAGGCATATATCATGACCATAGCTAGAGGGGTGTTTCACAAAACATTCTTCAAAATTGCTGAACCAAAATCGTTGAAAATTTTTGACTTGTTTGACTTTCTGACCGTATGGAAATAAATATGTGCTTGGCTGGTATTTAACAAGTATGTTTAAAACTGGCTGGGGCCTGGTCGCCGATGATGGCCCAAGCCAAAATTATCAGCGTCCAGGCCCCTAGCTCATTTCAAACCGGTCAAGCACATTATTTATTCCCTTAAACTGATTTTGTTTCCTGATGATGAACAGAGAAGCTGTTTTAAAACTTAACATAAAACTTAACATATAAAGTTAACAGGTTTTCCTCGGAAGCACACTTGATACACACAAGATATTTATTGTCACACTGCAGACTTTATTGCCTTGCCCCGTCCTATCGAATTAATGTTTTAATCCAAGATGACTTTTAAACTGATCTCTCCTCTGTTTGTATTTTATTTTATAGAAGGATCTGGGGTTGCGAAAGTTACAACGGAAAGAAACACCGCAGGCTGGTCCTTTGGCGCAGAATAATAAGTAAGTACTTGGGGTGTACGGTCTGGCGGTTAGGATTTATGATTCTTGATTAGAGTGCGAGGGGCTCAAATCCAGCTGCTGGCCAAATTTTTGTGTTCTTGAGCAAGCCACTTAACCCCTATTGATGTCTTTCAAATTTTACGTGTGGTGACACAGAATGATTTGGACTATAGTTGTCCACATAGGCATTGTTAGGTGTTCATCCTAAGGATCATTAGAGAACAACCAAAATCGGAAAAGATTGCTGAAAATCAGGGTTCGTCCTTAACTTCTTTTGTTTCACTTGCAAGCCGGATTACTGAAACAGACTGTTATCTATTCCATGGGCCATTCACTAGTCCGAAGTAGAATTTTTAAAATTTTTGCACCAGAACAAGTTATTAACAATCGTTTTGGCTCGCCAGGCGGACTACTTAGGGAATGGTTCTGACTAGTCCGCCGCTGTTTTACTCACATTTGACGACCGCTAAGGTTGAACCCTGCTGAAAACATTTCTTTGCTATTTGCAAAACAGTTTGGAAACCATTCACATGCAACATAACTCTCACGGCACTTTCGATGGTAAATTTTGCATATTATATTCAGCGAATTTCCGTGTTCAGAAACTCCATGGTATCTTACCACCGAGTGGAAGGCTGGAGTTATCAGTGCCTGATAAACCGCAAGAATCTCCTCATGCATTGTAACCGCATTAGTGTCAAGATGACAATTACGTTTGACAAGAACTCTGACCGTGAGTCATCATTGGTTTGTCTTGTTTCCCAGGGCCATCTCCCAGAGCCAGATGGAATTCTTCAAGTTATTGGATGAGAAGATTGAAAAGGTAATGAAATTGGTTGTCTCCATGAAGAGAAATTGCCATTTGAAAAAAAAACCCAAACATTTAGCACGGTGTTAAGAGTGAGAAGATGATCAGATCAAGTAAGGTGTGAATAAATATTGTATTTTTCCTCCTTGTGTTTTTTTTGGGAGGGGGGGGGGGGGAGGGGGGAGGGTGTTGTGGGGGGGGGGGGGCCTTTGTTAAAAATCTTCATTCATTAAATCTTACGCTTCTAGTTCATCCCCAGCTTTAGAGTCATTTAGAGGCCGTGGATGTCCAGATAAAAACCTGAAAATGCTCCAATCTTTTGCCTCATTTTACAAGATTTGATATTCCTGAAAGAAAATCTGGATACATATTGAGGCAGAGTGTGCCAAATGTGGAGACAAAGACAAATTTTGACAACCCTCTTAGAATGTGTTGTTACTCAACCTCATATACCTTTATTTCCGCAAATGTTATGGATACATCTGCTGAATTTGTCATTTCAAGTGACCATTTCTATTTTGAAAAAAAGAGAGAATATTTAGACACTACTTTTTTTTTCTACAGGGTGGTGAGTTAATAGAGGGTGACGAAGATGTGACGTAGCCCAAGGCCCCATCTGATTTCTCTGGAATACTCAGAGAGACTGGAAACAAGACTTTTGTTTTGACATCTCATGATGTACATTTTGGACTGGACCCATTTGTTGGCCAGCAAACCTATGATGAATCGCCAGGGTCATGTCTGTGAACATGGACACCGAATTGCTACGTGATGTCATCTGTCACCAAATAACCTCCCCGATGTTGGCTGTCACCAGATGTCACCTGCTGTCACATATCACCTGTCGTCACGTCACCTGTCACATGGATAAACCACAGAGTTTGCTTGGTTTAACTAGATTTCTGGCCCACCTGTGTTTGATTCAACAACCTGTTTACCCCTGCCACTTGCCATCTGCCACAAGTCTGAAACCAACAACTTAGCCTCAGTAGTTTCAGTATTCTGTTGCCGAAGTCTACTTGATTGTTTTTTAAATCATGCTGCAGTGATTAACGAGTTCCTTCATGGTAAAGTGGAGAAGTGAGGTATTTCACGTGACGTCACAGGTCAGTAGTCTCCATAGTCACCCACGCGCCTGCCATATTGGACGTCTACTGTTGCACACTAGTAAATAAACTGCCATAGACTCCAGTGATGAATACGCCCACTTTCGAAATTCAGGAAAAATACTCGCAACTCTCCGATGTTTTTGAGACGCATATCAAATTAAAGCTTATTTCATCATCTTTAATTTTCTGTTCAATGCTGGGGTTATAATCTAGGACTTTTGAGAGAAAAATCGGAAATCAGCCGTGACAAATACCGCAGAACATGCACGTTAGGCTTAATGCAATGTACTGTACGATCGATCCAGCCCACGCTAGACGCCCAAAATGGCGACCAGGCACATGATAATGTCACATGGATGCAAAAACTCAATTGCAAGGGTGAAGAATTATGTAAATGTGTGATCCACACACACTGTTGAGAAATATTGCACGCCACACTTAATATCAGTACCATCATTTTCTAAACTTGTCCTTAAATGTGATGCAATCAAGCTAAATGAGTTGTTTGTCGGGAATTTTTATTTGGAGATTCAGGCCAAAATAGGGCCACTTCATCACATCACTTCATCACATCTCTTGGTGTTCTGACTTCCATAATTTTTGACAAAAGATGGTATCAGCATGCAATTTTCACAGCAGTAATGCTGAGATTGTGCTCTTTTCAAATCTATAATAACATTTTTTTTACCAGGGTAGACAAACGTCGCTCGTTTAGCTTGAACACATCACAAATGTTTGCACTTTTAGTCAGCCAGTCCATGTTAATAAGGTGTAATATTCAAGTTTTCCACGTATTCAAGTGGAAGACTGTATTTTTGTATTTGATCCAAAGTATATATAATTTACATGTAAAATAGATCAAATTGGGAATAATAAATAATTTTGAATTTTGAACAAACGCAGTTGATGGAATCAGGAAAATTGTGAAAGACATCTGTAATTGTATAAAGTAATTGCTTGAAGTGGATGTGTTGGATTGATCTATGATATGGTGCCGGGCCTTTATTGGTTTTTGAAAATGGAATTTGTTTGCAACTAATATTTTATTACAATTATCATGCGATGCAGAATTTAATATGTATTTTTATTAACATGCTAAATGTTTATTTTAAACACAGGAACTGTGACGCCAATTTAAGATTGTAGTTACATGACCTACAAAAATCAAACTCTTCAATCACTACAACAAATAATTTCTAATATGGAATTGCACTTTTTATTCTTTGTAATCCCCACTGAATGTTACACTTCTTACAAGTTGTAAGGGTTTTTTATACACAAATTAAAATAGTGTAAAGTAAACTTATTTGCCATCAAAATCTGACAATCGATTGAAATAAACTCAGATTTGAGCAAAATGACTATTGTTTCAGTGTTCTTTTAAGAAGTTTTTGAAAATCAGAAATTGTAAGGGTTACGCTTCCATTTGCATCATATTTGGGCAAAAGTTTATTTTTCTGAAAATTACAAATTGTAAGGGGTTAACATTGCATTTGAAGCAAAATTGGGCAAAATATTTTTCTTAAAAAAAAAGTTAAATTGTAAGGGGTAAACCTTGCATTTGAAGCAAAATTTGAATTTTCTGAAAAGTGTATTTTTCTTACAAGTTAAAAATTGTAAGGGGTTAACCTTGCATTTGAATCAAAATTGGGCAAAAGTAGATTTTTCCGAAAAAGCAAAAACTGTAAGGGGTTAACCTTGCAGTTGAAGCAAAATTGGGCAAAAGTTGATTACTCTCACAATTTAAAACTTGTAAGGGGTTAACCTTGCATTTGAATCAACATTGGGCAAAAGTAGATTTTCTGCAAAAGCAAAAACTGTAAGAGGTTAACCTTGCATTTGAAGCAAATGCTTCAGAAAATCTGAAGAGTTTATTTTTCTTACAAGTTAAAAATTGTAAGGGGTTAACCTTGCATTTTGAAGCAAAATTGGGCAAACAATGATTTTCTAAAATACTAATAATTGTAAGGGGTAAACCTTGCATTTGAAGCAAAATTGGGCAAAAGTTGATTTCTCTCACAATTTAAAACTTGTAAGGGGTTAACCTTGCATTTTTGAAGCAAAATTGGGCAAACAATGAATTTCTAAAATACTAAAACTTGTAAGGCGTAAACCTTGCATTTGAATCAAAATTGGGCAAAAGTTGATTTTTCTGAAAAAGCAAAAACTGCATTTGAAGCAAATTTGGGCAAAAGTTGATTTCTCTCACAATTTAAAACTTGTAAGGGGTTAACCTTGCATTTGAATCAAAATTGGGCAAAATTTGATTTTTCTGAAAAAGTAAAAACTGTAAGGGGTTAACCTTGCATTTGAAGCAAAATTGGGCAAACAATGATTTTCTAAAATACTAAAACTTGTAAGGGGTTAACCTTGCATTTGAATCAAAATTGGGCAAAAGTTGATTTCTCTCACAAGTTAAAAATTGTAAGGGGTTAACCTTGCATTTGAATCAAAATTGGGCAAAATTTAATTTTTCTGAAAAAGTAAAAACTGTAAGGGGTTAACCTTGCATTTGAAGCAAAATTGGGCAAACAATGATTTTCTAAAATACTAAAACTTGTAAGGGGTTAACCTTGCATTTGAAGCAAAATTGGGCAAAAGTTGATTTCTCTCACAATTTAAAACTTGTAAGGGGTTAACCTTGCATTTGAATCAAAATTTGCCAAAAGTTGATTTTTCTGAAAACGAAAAATTGTAAGGGGTTGACCTTGCATTTGAATCAAAATTGGGCAAAAGTTGATTTTTCTGAAAACGGAAAAATTGTAAGGGTTAACCTTGCATTTGAAGCAAAATAGGGCAAAATATTTTTCTTAAAAAAAAAGTTAAATTGTAAGGGGTAAACCTTGCATTTGAAGCATAATTTGAATTTTCTGAAGAGATTATTTTTCTTACAAGTTAACAATTGTAAGGGGTTAACCTTGCATTTTGAAGCAAAATTGGGCAAACAATGATTTTCTAAAATACTAATAATTGTAAGGGGTAAACCTTGCATTTGAAGCAAAATTGGGCAAAAGTTGATTTCTCTCACAATTTAAAACTTGTAAGGGGTTAACCTTGCATTTTTGAAGCAAAATTGGGTAAACAATGAATTTCTAAAATACTAAAACTTGTAAGGCGTAAACCTTGCATTTGAATCAAAATTGGGCAAAAGTTGATTTTTCTGAAAAAGCAAAAACTGCATTTGAAGCAAATTTGGGCAAAAGTTGATTTCTCTCACAATTTAAAACTTGTAAGGGGTTAACCTTGCATTTGAATAACAATTGGGCAAAATTTGATTTTTCTGAAAAAGTAAAAACTGTAAGGGGTTAACCTTGCATTTGAAGCAAAATTGGGCAAACAATGATTTTCTAAAATACTAAAACTTGTAAGGGGTTAACCTTGCATTTGAATCAAAATTGGGCAAAAGTTGATTTCTCTCACAAGTTAAAAATTGTAAGGGGTTAACCTTGCATTTGAATCAAAATTGGGCAAAATTTAATTTTTCTGAAAAAGTAAAAACTGTAAGGGGTTAACCTTGCATTTGAAGCAAAATTGGGCAAACAATGATTTTCTAAAATACTAAAACTTGTAAGGGGTTAACCTTGCATTTGAAGCAAAATTGGGCAAAAGTTGATTTCTCTCACAATTTAAAACTTGTAAGGGGTTAACCTTGCATTTGAATCAAAATTTGCCAAAAGTTGATTTTTCTGAAAACGAAAAATTGTAAGGGGTTGACCTTGCATTTGAATCAAAATTGGGCAAAAGTTGATTTTTCTGAAAACGGAAAAATTGTAAGGGTTAACCTTGCATTTGAAGCAAAATAGGGCAAAATATTTTTCTTAAAAAAAAAGTTAAATTGTAAGGGGTAAACCTTGCATTTGAAGCATAATTTGAATTTTCTGAAGAGATTATTTTTCTTACAAGTTAACAATTGTAAGGGGTTAACCTTGCATTTTGAAGCAAAATTGGGCAAACAATGATTTTCTAAAATACTAATAATTGTAAGGGGTAAACCTTGCATTTGAAGCAAAATTGGGCAAAAGTTGATTTCTCTCACAATTTAAAACTTGTAAGGGGTTAACCTTGCATTTTTGATGCAAAATTGGGTAAACAATGAATTTCTAAAATACTAAAACTTGTAAGGCGTAAACCTTGCATTTGAATCAAAATTGGGCAAAAGTTGATTTTTCTGAAAAAGCAAAAACTGCATTTGAAGCAAATTTGGGCAAAAGTTGATTTCTCTCACAATTTAAAACTTGTAAGGGGTTAACCTTGCATTTGAATAAAAATTGGGCAAAATTTGATTTTTCTGAAAAAGTAAAAACTGTAAGGGGTTAACCTTGCATTGAAGCAAAATTGGGCATAAGTTGATTTTTCTGAAAACGAAAAATTGTAAGGGGTTAACCTTGCATTTGAATCAAAATTGGGCAAAAGTTGATTTTTCTGAAAACGAAAAACTGTAAGGGGTTAACCTTGCATTTGAAGCAAAATTGGGCAAAAGTTGATTTCTCTCACAATTTAAAACTTGTAAGGGGTTAACCTTGCATTTGAATCAAAATTGGGCAAAAGTTGATTTTTCTGAAAAAGCAAAAACTGTAAGGGGTTAACCTTGCATTTGAAGCAAAATTGGGCAAAAGTTGATTTCTCTCACAATTTAAAACTTGTAAGGGGTAAACCTTGCATTTGAATCACAATTGGGCAAAAGTTGCTTTCTCTCACAATTTAAAACTTGTAAGGGGTTAACCTTGCATTTGAATCAAAATTGGGCAAGAGTTGATTTTTCTGAAAAAGCAAAAACTGTAAGGGGTTAACCTTGCATTTGAAGCAAAATTGGGCAAAAGTAGATTTCTCTCACAATTTAAAACTTGTAAGGGGTTAACCTTGCATTTGAATCAAAATTGGGCAAAATTTGATTTTTCTGAAAAAGTAAAAACTGTAAGGGGTTAACCTTGCATTTGAAGCAAAATTGGGCAAACAATGATTTTCTAAAATACTAAAACTTGTAAGGGGTTAACCTTGCATTTGAATCAAAATTGGGCAAAAGTTGATTTCTCTCACAAGTTAAAAATTGTAAGGGGTTAACCTTGCATTTGAATCAAAATTGGGCAAAATTTAATTTTTCTGAAAAAGTAAAAACTGTAAGGGGTTAACCTTGCATTTGAAGCAAAATTGGGCAAACAATGATTTTCTAAAATACTAAAACTTGTAAGGGGTTAACCTTGCATTTGAAGCAAAATTGGGCAAAAGTTGATTTCTCTCACAATTTAAAACTTGTAAGGGGTTAACCTTGCATTTGAATCAAAATTTGCCAAAAGTTGATTTTTCTGAAAACGAAAAATTGTAAGGGGTTGACCTTGCATTTGAATC